TACAATACCATCCCTGTTGAATTCAAGGAATTCACTTTAAATAATTTTAAGAAACGGCTGAAATTGTTTTTCTCTGGGCGGCAGTAGATTTTCCTTTTTTATGACGGCGTGATTTTTGATCTGGTTGTAACTATCTTATTCAGTGCATTAAACTGTACTGTCCACTTATACATTTATACTAATTTTCTGTTAATTATTCCGATAACCTATGTACAATTCTTAATCATAAATTCATTTTGAAAATTCTGTAATTTAGTTTCATATTAATTATATTTATATCATTCTACCGGTTGGGTTTAAAAGCAGCTTCTTAGCTGAACCCCGCCCTTTCATCTATTTGTTTCTTTCTCTACCAGTTGTGAAATGATGATGATGAATAAAGACATATTATTATTATTATTATTATTATTATTATTATTCAAAGCGTCTTCGGCTGCACTTCCACTGAATCGCTGGACGACTGGCTCTGGCACTATTTATGTGGCTACTGAATTTCCTGACAAATTTTCGGAAATACTACACAGTAATCTGGCTCGAATTGACCAATGTTCGGTTGAATTTCAACTTAATAGATTTGTGGACTATATATTGATAGGATTAATGAATTTTATATAAATTACATTCATTATGACATTGATAGAAATTAATTCTCAGAATTATTTTTTTATACCATAATAACAGAATGAAATATACTGGGCTCTTCAAACAGCATCATATTACCCTCAAAGAAGATGCTGCCCCTATATTTCAACCCCTCAGAAGGATACCTATTGCTTTACATGAGCGTGTAAAATCAAAATTGTGTTACCTGGAGGAGCAAGGTGTCATCAAAAAAATTTACAAGCCTACTGAGTAGTTGAAGCCTCTAGTTATATAGTTGAAGAGAAAAATCATGATCTGCGATTATTTCTTGATCCCAATATTTAAATTTAGCTATAAAAAGAAAGATTCCTTATTCCAACATGTGAAGAAATTGCAGCTAAATTGGGCAATAATGAAGAATACTTCACAGTTCTTGACATGAAGGATGGCTATTTTCCAATCAAAATTGATAGTCAAGAATATTGCATATTTGGAACACCTTTTAGCAGGTACATAATTATGCCTTTTGTCGCTTACCTTTTGCGATCTGCTCAGCCCCAGAGGTGTTTCAAAAACTAAACTATGAGATATATGGGGATATTAATGGTGTAAGTCATTATTTTGATGACCTCATAATAACTGGGTTCAATGATATTGAGATTATTGAGCATGATGAAAATCTTCACTTAGTTTTGGAAAGAGCAAAAACCCAATATCAAATTCAAGAAAGAAAAGATTCAGTTTAAAACAAAAAATGTAAAATTTGTGGGTCAAATTTTTTCGAAGAATGGCATTGAACTTAATAAGAATTATCTAAAAGCAATTTTGGAAATGCCAAAACCTAAAGATAAAACAGATCTACTGCGCATTTTAGGCATGGAAAAGTATCTTGGTAAGTTCGTGCCTAATATGTCTCTTGTAACAGCGCCACTTAGAAACTTTTGACCAAACTTGATGTTGAATGGACTTAGGCCAAGTTGCATGAGGAATACTTATTAAATCTTAAAAAAATTGTTGACTAATGTCCCGATTTTGTCATTTTTTGATACATCCAAGCCCATTGAAATAGATACTGATGCATCTAAAGAGGGATTGGGTACATGTCTGTTGCAGAATGATCACCCCATCGCATTTGCTTCAAGAAGTTCAACCTCCTGTGAGCAAAAATATGCTCAAATAGAGAAGGAAATGCTTGCCATTGTATTTGCAACTCAAAAGTTTCACTATTTCGTTTGGTTTTGAAGTCAAAGTAAATTCTGATCACAAGCCCCTTTAATCTATTATGAAAAAAGATCTAGTATCGGTTTCTCCACGCTTACAGAGCATGAGGCTTCAGTTATCAAGATATAATATTAGCTTTTTTGTCTGAAACTGGACTGAAATCTGACCGAGAATTTACATTCACTGTACACTCAATTACTCGAGATTCAGCTATGTCACAAGAACGTAAACAGCAGTTCAGGCAAGAAATTGTAAAAATGGCTGGCCAACCAACAAGCATGAAGTCCTTTCCTCTCTAATACATTTTTTCAACTCAAAGAGGATCTGGTGCTAGTTGATAATTTATTATTTTGCGGTGAAAAAAATATTGTGCCATCATCCTTACAAAGATATATGCTTGAGGTATTACATGGGGGTCATGTTGGCATCGAGAAATGTAAAAACCATGCCAAACAAATATTTCATTGGCCTGGACTATCTATCGATATTGAAAAGTTCATTGAAAAATGTAAAACTTGTGAAACTCTTGCAAGAAGACAACAGAAAGAGTCACCATATTGCCCTATGAATTACCAAATCGTTCTTGGGAAAGATTGGGTATAGATATTTTTTCCCATGCTGGAAACATGTATCTCATTGTTGTGGATTCTTACTCAAATTGGCTTGAAGCCCCACAAATCAAAGATAAATCAGCAAAATCTGTTATTTCATCGTTGAAATCTATTTTTTCTGTACATGGCATACCAGTTATAACATGATAATGTGCCATTTAATAGCCTAGATTTAAAGACATTTGCAAAAAACTGAAGTTTCGGAATTAGTTTACGCAGTCCCTATTATGCTCCATCTAATGGTTTAGCAGAAAAAGGGTAGAGATAGGTAAAAAAATGGTAAAAAAATATTAGGAGATTGATATGCAAACTGTTCTGCTTCAATATCGAAACTCTTCACTCAAGTATATTGGCTATTCACCTGCTCAACTGTTGATGAGTCAAGTTTGCAAGACAAAAGTTCCTATCAGTTCCAGTTTGTTGCAACTAAAACTTTGTGATAATGTTGATGAAAAGTTGGTAGATAGACAGAATATTTATAAAATGCATTATAATAATAGTGAAGATTTAAAGCCTTTGGACCCAAACCAGAATGTAAACAATATTTAATCATATCAAACACAAATGGGAACACGGGCAAGTTGTATCACAACATGCGGCACCTAGATCTTATTTGGTTAGGTTATCTCATAAGAAGAAATAGAGGAGATCCCAGGGAATCTTTGAATGAGTATATGCCCAAACAAAATGGATTTAACTTTGAAGAGCCGAGTGTTGAACAGTCAACTGAGCCTTCTGTTTCTTCTCATACTCAAGGTTCTCAACCTGAGAGTGGTGTGTCTTGGTAGTGTCCTATGTGTCACCGAATTCGGGGTAGGAGACACAAGACAGTAGGCAGTGAGACGGGAAGATGTCGACTAGATAGGGAAGACTAGAAATGATAATAAAGTACACTGGTTCTTAAATAGTGCTTCACTAAAGAATTATCTCCTAAGATATCAGTATCATACACACCACAATCACTCTTTATTTTCGGAACTGTTCGATTTTTGCAAAAAAAAATCACTACCATTTCCTAGATATCACGAACTTAGCAGAATACCTGGAACAACTCACTAAGTTACTTGACAGTATGATATTTTCGCGTAATCATCACTAGTGGGGTACCGAAACACCCCACGATACCAGTTAAGGGTTAAATCAGAAAAGGAAATGTATCATTGACTCACCTCGGGAATGAACAGGTAACAAATCTTAATAATTGAACAAAACTACTCTTCACATCAAGAACATACAATAATATACAGGTATTATTCAAATGACAATAGCATTGACATTTCGGTTGCTTAGATGTTGAAACTGATATAGATGTATGCAGGAAGCGGCAAATGGGAAACTTTTTCCAACGATCACTAAAAAAAAAATGTTCTAAAATTGTTCTATCCGTCATTCGGTTGCCCCCTTACTAGCAACCCTCAGAAGTCTTCGAGAGTCTTGTGCGAGCAAGGAATGACGGGGGCCTTACCTTTTAACGTGTGATCCCAAACACTTTCTTGGGCCATCAGAAAAATTTCTGCAGTCGATGGGAATCGAACCAACGACCGGCAAGCGAATGCGGATTAGAATATAGACACTCTGTCCGCACGGCTACCGGGCCCCCACTACATCACTCATTTATAAAATTCACTACACTACATCAATCGTTTATAAAATTCCTGTATGTAGCTGTGTAGTATTAATATTTCAGTCATGCTACAATCCTAGAAACCCTGTTCCTCTTCCACTCCATAATTGCAACTTCAAGATCAGCATATTCGTTTTACCTCGGTATAATTATTGAACATTTTGAATTAAAATATACCTACGTTATAGTCAAAATCAGTTTGGTGGGTCGGCGAAGAAATTACACGCATTCAAGTATCTGCTTCTACAATTTTTAGTTGCAGGTAGGAGCTGCATTCCTTCTTTTCCAATATAAGATGGCTAGTGAAATAAAATTAAAATGATGAAAATAAAGTTTTATTAACTTACTATCATAACATTTATAAGTGCTAGAAGTCGCTCCATCTTTCTTTTATCTCTATATACCCGAATGATACTAAAAACTTAGCTAGTTATAAAAACTTCCACATAAGTTTTACAAATAACCGCTTTACCGTTTCTAGAAATATAAACTACACTCTCCTTTGCAGGTATTGTGTGAAGTTATTTGTATAAAGGTAAAAATAAAACTTTGGTCGCTCTTCCTACACCTGAATAAAAACATTGAATATCTACTGAACAAAAAGAATTCATTTTATTGTGAGTTGTTGAAATAAAAATTAGTTCTGTTTTTAGTAAAAATGTTTCGAATCAAATGTAGAAATTTGTATAAATAGAAGAGACAAATAAATGCCTGCATTTTCATCAAACATGTATACTCTGTGCAACATTTCACGCAGTTGCATAATATTTCTAATCTGCTAACGGGTCGTCAACAATGATTGAGTACCACGTAACCATTTTTGATGCGGCGTCTCTTTTCCACCTACGTTGAAGAGAAAATAATGTATTCTTAGTTGCATAGTAATCTGTCACGTGTTTTTCAATCATTGTTGAAGACCCATTATAAGGTACATTGCGATTTGAAAACAAACAATATAAATAATTCACGGAAGCATATATCGATACAAAATAAAGTAAAAAGACAAAAATAATCAAACGTTGATAACGGCGTTCCTAAGAAAAATGGAAAGTACGTATTTTATTCGAAATATTGTACATTCCCTGGCAATTCGAATTTCGGATTTTAAACTCTGTTAATCTTTAACATTTTTACGCTCTTACAAACAAACATAACAAATCACACTTATAAGCTAAAAGTCCACCATAGCTAAAAATCGACAACAATAAAAATATCTATCCTGCGCTTTCACGATATTTATCATACGAAAATATAGTTATCTCAGAATTCGATAGTTTCATATAATGTATTAAGCTAAGACGGTATTTACGTGTTTAGGTTTTAAGACTATGCAGTTTGAATTAAGCCACACATCCATACATCAATTTTGTACAGTCAGTTTCGTAGTTGTTTGATCGAACATCAAATACCTATTTTATGTTCTTTAACTTATGCAGGACTTTATATCCCATCCGTCAAAAAAGTGTTCTACTTGCAAGTGGTCCACCTAGGTTTCTTCAACTTCCTTCATTAAAAATCTAATGTCAACAAAATTTTTCGAAGTATAACGATACAGAACTGAACTTGATGTCTCACTCTTTACAGCTTTCCACACTTTGATATTACGATATTTTTAGTAGGTTTACCTGCTGTATCCCCGTACGTACTAATTTTCTCAATAAGCTCTAAACCTTCCACAACATGCCCAAAAATTCCCGTAAAACCGCGCATTTCTTGCAAAATAATTCGGAATTGTGAACCCACCATGCCCAAATTGTCATGCCGTTTCTGTGTCCGTCTCATACCGACTGTACCTCGAACAGCCATCAGTTTAGTATCATCAGGTAAAAAGTAGGAGTCTTCAAAAATAGACCGGCCTCCCCTCCCATTGTTGAGTTCGAAATCGCCCGTTATAACGCTCTCGCCCTCCCAACACTGAAATATCTGACAACCCTTGTACCCCATCCCTGCTTCACCAGTGGTCAAAACTCCGAAGTTTTTTGCCATTTTTGGAGCTACATCAGCTCTTACCTCGATAACGATTCGACCGATTTGAGCCCCATTTACATCTACGTTGAAATAGTACAACGGGCACATGTTGATAGGGTTCCGAATCTGAGGAGAATGTATCATGTTTTGCATGATTAAGTTATTTTCTTGATAAATGTTTTTAGGTGCTGGTATAACAACGTGAGGTGGAGGATTAGGGGGTAGATAGTTGATTGCAGGAACCGAATTATGATTATGGTAATCAAGAGAACCGTTTATATTTTGTTTCGAGACTATATGACGCGAAAATAACTGAGACATGCAATAATTTGCAAGGAATAAAATTGGGTTCTGTTGTGAAGGGTTAAGTACTCGTGATGTACTGGGATACATCAATTCCCCATTTTGTAGGTTGCTCAGAGATTGTTTCAAAAGCTGAAAGTCGAATAGAACACTCGAAGTTCTTATTAAATCATCTAGTTGACATTGGAGATGCATTTCCTGGTAACGAATTTGCAGGCGCTGCTTCTCCACATTCACGTTGGAGTAAAGATTATGGACTTCCGTCAGATTCTCAGCCATCGATAGGTTGAGTCGTAGTTTGGATAATATGTCTCTCGTTTCAGACAATTCAAAATGAGACACGTTATTCGTTAATTCAGCTTCAACGTGTGTTTTTAACGTAACACAAGCCTCTAGGATTTTAAGCAAAAATTCGCGTTGTTGCATAGCCAGTCTTTGGATTTCAGATAGCATTTTGTTCATCGAAGACAAATCGATCTGCATTTCGGAGATAAGATGGTCTTTTGCTTCGTTTTGCGATTTTATTTGATGAGTTACGTGATCATTTGTGGTAGCACAGGCTCGACAAACGGGAGAGCAACAAGTATGGCACCACAACGCCAATGGCATCGCATGAGTGTGGCAATTTTCTGAAATAACCTTGGCAGGTTTGTCGGAAGGTTTCGTCCCTATCTTCAGCTGGGAGAAATTCTTAGTCAAGCATAAAACTGGATTGTAAGTTGGGAGGGATTCTGGTCCCAACTCACCAACTTCAGTTCGTTTCCAGCAGTAAATGCAGTAGAGTTCCTGGCCCTTGGTGAGGTTTGTCCGCATGCATTGTAGACAAAAATAATGCTTGCACGAAAGCAATTTAGGACTTTGGTCAGTTTCGTTGAACTTTTGCTTACAATAGCCGCATAACATCAATTCCTCGAACTCTGGTACTACGGATTCCATTTCTGCAATTTTTAATAAACAAAAATTAGTTTCATTCAGAAGAGAGCTTGAAAAATCTTGAATTGCATAATAAGTTTTTAGTTTTGTTAGGGGGAGAAAGATGTTCAAATTGAAAAAAAAGTAACGACCTCTATAATATGTCCTACGCAAATTGGAACAAATTCAGCCGTTCCTAAACTATGTTGTGGAAACTTAAATGGGATTGTTAGTGGATTTTTTATTCCATTTTGTGAAATTATGTCAACGTGTTTATACAGGGTTTCTATTAGAGCATCGTAGTGGCCGTTCGATTTTTTTTCGACTTGATGCCTTTATTTAATGGGCGTTTGGTCACTTTATTGTTAATCAAAGTAGGCAGAGAGCGGCAAATACAAAAATATTTCAACGGTCACTACATCAATCATTTATAGGAACGATAAGTCATGGAAACCATCCATCCTTCTCAAAGTGGTCCAGATTTTTTCAAAGAAAAAACAAATACACAAAGTCGGTCGACCACAAATTATATTACACAATTGCTAGTGTGACTAGTTTCGGCTAAACAGCCATCTTCAGACACAAATTAAATAAAGTACCTGTAAGAAATGAAATTACAGACGAACAATAAGTTTGCTGAGGAAAAAACATACCTAGGCCATGTGGTGATTACAAATTCATCAAAAAAATTAAGCTGTTATATCAACGAATAAATAATCAGTCCGGTAAGGGGGTGATTACATTTTTATAGCGGCTGAACAGCCAAAAGAACCTTATAATCATGAGGTTCAACATTGGCACGAAAAAATTAGAATTTAAATATCTTATAATTTTTCCGTGCCAATGTTGAACCTCATGATTATAAGGTTCTTTTGGCTGTTCAGCCGCTATAAAAATTTAATCACCCCCTTACCGGACTGATTATTTATACGTTGATATAACCGCTTAATTTTTTTGATGAATTTGTAATCACCACATGGCCTAGGTATGTTTTTTCCTCAGCAAACTTATTGTTCGTCTGTAATTTCATTTCTTACAGGTACTTTATTTAATTTGTGTCTGAAGATGGCTGTTTAGCCGAAACTAGTCACACTAGCAATTGAGTAATATAATTTGTGGTCGACCGACTTTGTGTATTTGTTTTTTCTTTGAAATTTATAGGAACCCCATACGTAGTTGAGTAGTAGGTATAAATACTTTTGTCATGACGATGAATATTCTGTTTTCTATCTCATTCCAAGCAATATGGTAACTAGAGAAAAATATGTTTTTCTGTGACGGGGAAAAAGTTCCGAATGTTATCTCTGTTGACCGGTTATAAAATGTCACTTTTCATACATTACTTTTTTTCCCACGGGAAATAAGTGTTCTTTTTCCCGGATATATATCACATATATATACACTGCTGATGGCTTTTGTTGTGCTATAGTTCCGATAAATAAGCCAATAAAATCGTCTCCGAGAAAGAACTGAAATTATTTCATCTTCTATCCGACTTCGCGGATAGGTAAATTACTAAAAAACCACCAAATTTGCAATTTTTGATGATCAAATCACAGAATTCGACTGACAGATATTTGATTATTTCAAAAGAATGAAAAAGATGCCTGCAACGCAGGTGTCATTCCTGATAAAAACTTCAAATTTCACGTCGATAATTTTCTGATTTTAATATAATGTAATATTTTCTTAATATTCGTCCTTCCTGCCACAGAAAAAATTGTGTATTTATTATACACGAGAAAATTTTAGATATTAGCTCACGGTTTTTCGTCTCCCTCCGCTAACTTGGAGCTAAAATTGCAACTTTTTTCCCTTGTAATAAATAACTTTATTATTGCTGTACAATCAGAGACAGTTTAATGAACGGAGACATCGCTGGTATGGAAATGAATGTTCGAATATTGTCGTATTTTAAAAATGTCGAAGTCGGAAGCGAAGTCCGGCCTGGCGACCGTTGCTTTGGGTCCCGGTTTCGAATTCTACTCCACCTACTTTTTTTTTGTTTCGAAGTGTTTAATTGAAAAAAATGATGTGGAAGCATTTACCGTTGTGACCGAAAGGGATTCGCTATTCCAATGCTGAATTCTCACGGGCCGGATATATTTGTTGCGTCTTGTCTCTAGACGCAAGTAGGCAGAGTTATTTATCGGGGGTTCTGCCAGGGCCTACTCTATCTCACCGGGCCGGAGCATCGCTTTCGTGACGTCACACAAGTAGGGACAAAATCGAGGCGCTGGAAATTGCGTTTGTTAATTCATTGATGTACCACAGGAAAACGGTAACAGTTATCAAAAAATGTCAAGAGATCAAATATGTACAGAACAGATTTTTTAAAGAGATGTATCAATGTTCAAGAGCCAATAACAAACCGATATTTCAATTCTAGTAAAATGAAGATTCAGATGATTATAACAGTAGATAAAAAAGTTTAGACGGCTCCCATATTAAACCTATCGGCTGTGGATATATGATATCACTGACTTTTCTGTAGAAAATTTCATTGCCTACAAATCGATATGATACACTTTCACTGTATCTCAGATGGTTTTAGCAGCGTTTATGTCGAAAGATAATCTGGGCACACTTTAATGACGTTAAAAATTCTATACCTACTCGAATAAAAGTTATTACGCAAAAAACCCTGATTGCCTATTAATTATTTTCAGCTGAGTAGTATATATTTTAGAAATAATCTCATATTAAAGAAGAATAATTGATTTGAAAATATTTTCAGAATATGAAAATTAAGAAGAACAAAAAATATGTAGTTCTCATAAACACAATACTAAACGAGAAAAATCCTGAAAATAATCAAAGAAATAGCCAGATATTACAAAATAAAATGTACTTATAACAAAATTCGTGTATCACAAACTAAAAAATGATCTCGTAACTTCATATTTATCCAGATAGTCTGATGATCCTTCTTTTCTTATTATTAGACTGAATCCCGCTATATTTTATTTGCAATACTTGATTATTCAACACGATACTCGATATAGTTTTCAAAACATCAAAAGACCCACAACTGGACCATGAATAATAAAACATACATTACCCTTTACGTATATGGAATTACCGCGAAATCGTTAATGCGAGGAAATTAGGTAGGTAAAACACTAGAAAAAATTGTACGCGCTCTTTATTCTTAATTTATTTCGGACTGATTGTAGTAGCTCAACAATTTTTCGCTCTAGACAATTGATGCATTATCCTAGTTTGACATAGGTACTCAGTCAGTTTCAGTTTATACCGATTCTAAATTGGCAAAAAATAATGTTCCATAGTACAACATCCTGATTTTCATTAAAATTGAATTTCTTTACATCATAAATCGGTACTGGTTCATCCTATTGAATTCATCTTTTTACCAGAAGTTGGGTAATTCATTAGGGATCAATTCATCTCGATTGAGTATGCTTCTAATTTTATAGTAAATCTATAAGCTATAATCTTTCAATTATAGACGCACCGATATGAAATGATGTGAAATCTCAACCTACTAATGTGACGTCAGAATCGAGATAGATGGGATAGACTAGGGCCTGGTGAGATAGAGTAGGCCCTGGTTCTGCCCGAGGCAACAACAACTCAGAGGATCATGTCACTATTTTTTGCACTGCCAGGAAAATTATCTCATTCAATAAAATAAGTAACCAGTCAATGCTACAATTCATTTTGACGAGTACCCTATTTCCTGTTTGGATAAAATAAATAATAAATAATGAATAATTGAATAAAAATAATGATCAATAATAATAATAATAATAATAATAATAATAATGATAATAACAAATAGTCCAGAAAATTCAAGTAAATATATAGTTATTTATTATACAAGGGAAAAAAGTAGTAGATTTTAGCTCCAGGTTGTGTTGTCTCCCGACGCGTAGCGGAGGGAGACAAAAAACCGTGAGCTAAAATCTAATATTTTTCCCGTGTATAATACACTATTTTTTTCTGTGACAGAAGGAAGGACGAATCAATATTGAGAAGATATTACTTTATTTCGAAATCTGAAAATTATCGACGTGAAATTTCAAGTTTTTAACAGTAGGGACACCTGCGTTTTATAGGCATCTTTATCATTCTTTTGAAGTAATCAAATATCTGATGTCACTTCTGTCAGTTCAATTCCGTGATTTGATTTTGAAAAATTGCGAATTCAGTAGTTGTTTAGTAATATACGAAACCGCGGAGTCGAATGGTAGATAAAAGGACTTGCAGTTCTTTCTCGGAGACGGTATTATTGACTCATTTTTCGGAACTATAGCACAACAAAAGCCATTAACAGAGTATATATATATGTGATATATATCCGGGAAAAAAGTACTCACTTTTTTCCCACGGGAAAAAAGTAATTTATGAAAAGTGACATTTTATAACCTGCCAACAGAGATGAAATGCCAAACTTTTCCCGTCACAGAAAAAAATTATTAATAAGCACTTTCTGTTTCGAAAATTGCAGAGAAACAATATTTTTTGTTGACTTTGATTCGTGGTAGTATCGGTGGTATTAGTTATGTTCCTTGTGCGAATTAATGCAGTTTTCAAAACAAATGGGAAAATTTTTATAGAAAATGTATCATATATTCAATTATGACTGTCAATCAAGGGTGATCGAGATTGGGATAATGAATTTGTGTTGGTGCACAATATTTCAACTGGTGTTTTTTTTTTGTCGAGAGTCGATTTTTGAGTCTGCATAGAGTTTTTGAATGTTTAATAAAGTATAAGTTTCTATAAAATGTAATAATCATCATTAGACCAGTCAGTCACTCACATAATAATTGGAGATTGAAAGAGCAAATTCTGTCTATAGTGCCATCGAATAGCTGTCACATCTCATATTCCTCAGACCAAAACGATTCGATACAAGCAAACTTATAAACATGCCATGCACCATTATTGATGGGATATAACAAGTGTCAAATTACCTCATAATAAACTTGATGCTAAAGCATAGCCCAAGAGAAATAACATTGCTAGCATCGTTATCAAAAACATTTTATTTGAAACAGTA